AATTACTTAATTAGATAATGACCAATAGGTTAAATTTGATGCCACCACACAAATGTAGAATGCATTTAACATCTCACTTTCATGATGAGTTCCTTTGGAAAAAAGATGTATATAACTTTTATTTTGACTGATGGGTTCCCTTTGAAAAACAACATCTAAATAAGTATTATAACTATTGTAACTTTCATTAGCCATGATGCCTGTGATACGGGACCAATTTAGATTATTATTTAGGGTTTTTTTTTTTGCATATGCCTTACATGACAATATCTAGAATAATTCTAATCTATTTTTGTTCAGATTACTAAGTAATAGAAATAGAAGACAAATAGAAAAAAAAAAAAAGCAACTAAATTACTGTTTTGATTAAAGATTACAAATCATGATTGAAGATCTCTCGAAAGAAAGAGATTTATCAATCAAAATATCAGAAAAAGATTTTTTGCCAAATCAAGTTAAGAATATTATCTTTTTTGAATAAAAATAAATTATATATTTTAATTTGATATAATTATAATTTTTATTTTTTTACTGATTTTTTTCTCTTATACTTAACCTATAAGTAATTATAACATTGTAATAACATCATAATAGATCGTCAAACTGTGTTCTTTTATCACATAATATGTGAGTGATGTGAGGATTTAGTTATGTATCATTTGATAGGATTCGAATCGGAGGTACAAGGTTTTCATGGAGTTTGCCAATTTGAAATAGAGTATAGTTATCATATTTTATTTTATTAATTACTATTTGTTTCCTCTTTTAAAATTCTCTACTATAAAAAAAAGAAAAATTACCCTGCACTCTCGTCTGACATTAAATTTAGTATTAGTAGCTTACACAATAAAAACGATCAATGTTTTATTCTCAAAGTCGACCAATGTTTTAGAAACTAAGGTGATCTTACACAATAAAAATGTATGATATGGGAGTAATTTAGCTTACTACTTATTCAAATAAATTTTATTAGTTCATAAATTATTTCGTGATAACATTTAGAAATTATAATCCAATTTTTTGGATGACTCAAGAATAAAAAAAAAAATATATATATATATATAAAATGAAAGAGAGCAAAATATGATTGTTTTATTGAAGATTTTATGAAAATTTATCTACATAAAAAATGAAAGTCTAATTTTATAAGAAATTAGCAACAAAGGACTTGGTTATTTTTTTAAAAAAATAGAAATAATTTCTATTAATATAAACTTTTAATGAACTACTTATTCTGATAATTCATTCATGTTTAATTGTTATTCTATTTTAAAATATTTAAAAATAATAATAACTAAAATCTAATTTAATAAGAGGGGTTATATTTGGGTCTGACCTCAATCGGGTTGATCGACCAAGCTAGTCAAACCAATCCATATTGCAAGATGTGGCTTAGCTCAGCAACCAAGTGTAGCCTAACCCATGCGACTAGGTAACTCACCTTAGTGGCCAAGCACATCTCAGCTTGTGGGCTGAGTGCAGCCAAGCGCAACACAAGCCATGTATCCAACTAGTTCAGCTAATAAGCAAAACATGAAATAATCCTTGAGACTATACTCAACCCACACCACCAGTCCTCTGTCCAATCTATTACACTTGGTGTAGCTTGCTACTTAGGATAAGTATGTGTAATGCACATCACTAGCCCGGGTCTTAGGTGGGCTAGGCCAACCTAATTAGTACTGTGCAATCTAGCTTAATTCTCTCTCTCTCTCTCTCTCTCTTTTTCTCATGGGTTTAACCTCATTGATTGAACAAGATTCATTTGACCATAATGATTTCCGATTGATTTGATGGTTCAAGCTTATTTGACTCATTTGAATGCGATCGAGTTCAAATAAGATGAGACTAGGTAATTCAAGATCGATTCAATAAGGATTAGAATTGATTCATTTAGGTCCTATTTGAATTGATTTAGGTTGATCAAAGGTTGTTAAAAGAATGAATACCTTGTGGCTTTATAATTTAATAGACTTAAAGTTTATGATTTAGAAATTATTAGTGATTTTTTTATTATTTTAAGATTAAGTTAATGATATTAAGCGATTATTAACATGTGATATACAAGGCGTAGTTCATATTAGAATTTCACCTTATGAAACAAGTTTAAGGGCACAAAGCCACTAATAGACTAAGTATAGTAGGTCATACACTAAGCATAGTCTTTATGATATTTTATCGTATTATTTTTTTAAATATATTAATGAATAAATGATCATGAATGACTTTGTTTCCGATCGAGGGTAGGCAAACCAATACCAATAAAAGTAATTCTCTTTGGATAAATAATTCATTATATGTGATAGCTAGATAGTTCATCTATTTATCATCGAGACGAATGTGTGTTTACTTTTACAAGTGAGGAATATCACTCTATCAATTGTTAGAAATATGATATGAGTAATCTTTATTCATTGTTTGAAGAAAATAGAATCATCCAACGAAGTATGCCTCTCCGAACAAGTATACTATTGATCGTCTGAAATTCATTTTTGCTACTTTACTATTTCATCCGGATATGATATATGCGATTGTTGCATAAATTGTATTTACTATATAAAAATTATAATTATTTATTTGATACATAAGTTTCATAATTAATTAATATAGTATTATTTAATAATTTGATACTTAAATATATTTTACGAGTATTAAAAATTATTTTTTTTTATGATTTGTAGATGTTTTATGATTGCTAATAGGATGTTAATCTTGTAATTTTTTTCAATAAACTAATAATCCATAATAAATATGATGCTAGGATGGAAGAGATTTTTTCTGTCACTTCGACACTCACAAAAAGGTACAATTTTTTTTAATAAAATATATTCAGTGTTATAAAAAAAATTAAAAATTTAGGATTAAAATTTTTCTGTTAATTTTTGTTGTATCTGAGATGTGGCAGAAGGTTTAATGAAGTCTCAACCACAAGATTGGGATTCCTCTGACATATTAAAATTGGCTCCGAGATTTTAATAACCAAGAAAAATACGGCCAATTTTTATACGTCCTGGTAATGTGACTTACTGTATCCACCCAAATCTTATCAGAAACTGTTGCACTTACCGTTCTCACATATTATTGTCCTGTCCGTACTGATATTTTCGTCCCCATCCTACCTGCACTACATGTGTTTTCTGTGGCAATTTCTCTCACTTCGAAAGCTACGTCACAATTCCCGGAGCTGTGAGGTCTTCAACAGAACCACTAAACGCCATACGTTTAGTTTATCGCTGTTTCCTGAAGCTTCTTCTTCCTGTGGCCACAAAATCATCGACCACATACAGACCAGAGTCTCGAGCTCTATATAAGAAGACGACCTCAGATCGAGTCGACCAGGAAGAGCTTCTGCAACACTCCGCCACCGAGCGAGCGAGCCAGCCCGAAAGATGACATATATGGCTCTCCTCTTCGGTGCTCCGTCCTTTACCGGTAACCTCAACATTCTCCGGCGGACCACGATCTCCGAACGTCCAAGTCCAAGAATCCGCTGCAGCGCGCAAGCAGCTCCCACGCGGAGAACGGCCAATTACCAGCCAAACCTATGGACTGCCGACCGGATACAGTCACTCACAAGCAGCTCCGCCACGGTGGGTTTGTATATATATATATATATATACACTGCAGTGTTCATATACCCTCTGAAGTCACTTCTTCATATAAAACACGATACACTTGTTCATGTTTTAAACATGTGAAGATGATGATAGAATCACATTTGCAGCATAATTAGAAGGCTTCAGCTGAGTTGATCGATGTGCAACGCGGCTTCGAATACAACGGTAGATCCATATCTAGAACTCAAGTAGCGGAGAACAAGTGAATCACGTAATCAAATCCAAACCAAAATAGTATTATTTTGTATTATGATGACAGTACTATCAAGATTGGATCGGATGTAGCTTTATTTTATGTTATTATAATACAATAAAGGAGCTGCGTGTAGGAAAAATATGGCAAGAAGTTTTAGTTTCATTACACTGCTTGATCAACATTTATTAATAGAATCATATAAATCAATTAAAAATACAAAAAAAAAAAAATCGTATGTCCGATGATGAAATATTTGTTGCTATATACCACCGATAACATCTTCATCCTGACATCCTTTTTTTTTTTTTTTTTCTCTCTGCATGCTATGAGTTGACTTTGTGTAAACAGATTAGAAGTGACCGATGCGCCTACCTCCTCTTGAAACGTAGCTTATGGTGCAGTGGGATAAACGACGATATTTTCGATAAGATATATTTGGTCTTATTTACGTGTTACAATTGTATATTATATCAGTATCTAATTGATTTACTTTATATTATTTGTAAACTATTTTATGTCTGTATTATGTCGTTGTTTCTCGAATATGTCATATTGCCATCATTAACACTATTTAGAACTAATATTGTTTATATTTATATTTTATTATTTTACACATTATCTTGTCTACTATTTATATTATTCTGGTTTAAACTATTGATTCGTTGTACCTTTTATATTATTTTTTTCGGTATTTACTGACTTTAAAAGTTGAGTTCAATGCTTTATTATCATCCCCTTAAATATTTAATAATTAAAATAATAAAAAAGATCAATTTAATTCTTTTGAGTGTCATCCTTTTTTCTTTTTTTGATAATTATCCTATTGAAAGACTTGCATAAGGTTATGTCTATGCCATCACATACTTTTCTCACCATCGTCTTTCTAAGTCTAATATTTTTGTCACACTTTAGTCAAATATAATGAATATTGTGAAATTTTATTCCTTACGTATCGAGTAGATAACTAGTAAATTTATATTGCAGTTTTATTGATACAAATTTTAAATATTAGAAATAGTTACATGTCTCTCTTTTTTTACGAGTAATCAATCGTTCTTTATATGTATAAACACATATGGTTGATTGTTGTAAATTTAGGTCGAAGAGGAGCGCAAGACTAAAGGGATAGATGATTTGAAGGAGGATGTTAGGAAACTGATATATGAGAAGAAGGAAGTCGAGGACCAACTTCAACTCGTGGATCACCTACAACAACTTGGTGTGGCTTATCACTTCAAAGATGATATCGATGATGTTTTACGGTGCCTTTACGGATCTCTCGAAGACATCAACATGCTTTTAAAAGATGATCTCCATGCCACAGCACTTGTGTTCAGGCTTCTCAGAGAAAACGGGTTCGATGTTTCCGAAGGTGATTCATATTTCAGATTAAATCCTTTTTTTTTTTCTCTTTAATCATCATGTCGCGATCTGACATGAACATGTTTTGTGGACAAAAAGATTTATTCAACAGATTTAGAGACGAGAAGGGCGACTTCAAAGCTAGCCTGCAGCACGAGACCAAGGGAATCCTGAGCTTGTATGAGGCTTCCTATGTCGCAAAGGAGGGCGAACTTGTACTGGATCAAGCTACGGACTTCACCACTAAGCACCTCAAATGCCTCATGGAGAAGGGATCGCTCGAGCCTCGTCTCAGGGAGCATGTGGCACACGCCTTGGAGCTTCCACTGCATTGGAGGATGCAGAGGTTGCACACCAGGTGGTTCATAGAAGCATACCAAAGGGAAGCCACCATGAACCCTGTTGTGCTTGAATTGGCTAAGCTGGACTTCAACGTGGTTCAGGGCATGTACAAGGGAGAACTCCGAGAACTCTCCATGTAAACTTGGATAGCTTGAGCTTAGTTCCGTTCTCATCGATTTACCGGCAAACCTTCTAAAGCAAAGTTGTTCTTGATGTTAGATGGTGGACCAATCTCGGGCTTGCACAGAAGCTGTCATTTTTCAGAGACAGGTTGACGGAGAACTTTCTGTGGACCGTAGGTTGTGCCTTTGAGCCACAATTTTGGGAGTACAGGGAGATACAGACAAAGGCAAACTGCTTAATAGCAATGCTGGATGACGTTTATGATATCTACGGCACCTTGAACGAACTCGAGCTTTTCACCGAAGCCATTGAAAGGTGATGAGGATCCCCTGCCATCGCAAGGATTTGAACTTTGTATATATCGTCTTGTGTTTACCGTTATTCTGCTGCTCATTTCAGATGGGATGCTAATAAGATCGACAGGCTTCCCGATTACATGAAGCTGTGTTTTCTGGCAATCTTCAACGCGGCAAACGAGACAGGTTACAGAGTCATGAAGGAGAAGGGCTTGGACATAATACCTTTCTTAAGGAAGGCAGTAAGACACATTAATGCTTTCTTCCTTTCCTTTGTGCATCAATCACCTGGTTTCTTCTCTCTATACAAACTCTCTACTCCTCGTGGTTCAGTGGACGGATCTATGCAAAGCGTTCCTGTTGGAAGCGAAATGGTACAACCAGGGCCACAAGCCAAAGCTTGACGAGTACTTGGACAACGCGTGGATGTCGTCTGGCGGTCATGTCTTCATGACCAATGCTTATTGCATGAGCGACAACCTGACGAAAGAGTCGCTGGAAAGCTTCTCCACTTACCCCAAGGTTGCTAGGTGTTCGGCCATGCTGTTCCGCCTCTACAACGATTTGGCTACTTCGACGGTACGTCAAGCTAAACCATGGAAGCCGTACACATGTTCTCCCTCATCAGTGCTTCTCACCGGCGCTAACAAATCCTATGGTCGGTGTGCAGATCGAGCTGGAAAGAGGAGATGCGCCGTCGTCGATCCAGTGCTACATGCTGGAGAGTGGTGTTCCAGAGACGGCGGCACGCAGAAAGATCAGGGAACTGATAAAGGCCAACTGGAGAGGAATAAATGGAGATCGGAGCTCTTCGTATGGGGAAATCTTCAAGACGGTGGCAGTCGGCCTCCCTCGGATGTCACAGTTCATCTACCAACACGGAGACGGATACAGCGCACCCGATGGAGAGACCAAGAAGCAAATCGTGTCGTTGCTGTTCGAACCCCTCCAGCTCTAAAAATTATAATCTCGCTGTAACGTGGATGACCCATTCGAAGAAGGTTGCAACGTTCCATGAAATAAGTGACGTACAGTGAATTAGCACACAAGGACTTGGTTATTCGAAAAAAAAAGAAAAAAATATATTTCTATTATATTAAACATTTTGAAGTTTTAAATCGTAACACAAATTGTCTAACGATTAATGTAGGTTCTTTGAAGGGGTAAAAATGAAATAAAACGACAAATAAATCAGACGCAGAGTGGCGTTATGATTTGATTAGCTTCACAAATATAGAAAATAAATGAGAATAATTTGTGAAATTTCGAAGTTCTCTTGAAATATAAAATAAAAAACTTCTGTTGGAGGAAAAAATTTTGTTTCTTTTTTTCTATAGAAATAAAAAAAAATCATGTAAAGCCTAATCTTACAAGTCAAATCATGTCCAGCATTTAATTCCCAACATCCCAACCGCCACCTGCTTCCCGCAATAAGTGAGGAGAACTCGATCGAGCACCTACGCGTCGCTTCTCTTACGGCGTGGCGACCACATCCCCAACTCCATCCATGTAATGAACTCTAATGACTGCATTAATATCCCACAAAAACTACTACCTACTCCACCGGTATCTTTATTACACTTACCAACATAGACACACACTTCTCCTCTCATGCTTCATCTGTTATCTGAAGGAACAGGAAGGGCAAGGCATGGGTTGGGTTAAAGCGGTGCTGGTGTTGGTGGTTCTCCAATCCATCACCACTTCGCTTCCACACTGGGCAGATGCAGGAGATCTTCTCTCCCCTCTCTTCAGTACGTACTCTCATGTCTTTAAGATTTTTCGGTACCTATGGATCGTTTTCCTCTCTTTGGTCTTTTTCATGTAAATTTCGATCCATCTTCTCTGTGTGCGTGATCAATTCCATGGCTTCTTTGCTTCTCTCGTCTTTGTTATACAGACGAGATATGCAACAACAGCGTGGAGTGTGGGAAGGGGAGTTGTCAAGTGTCGACGGACGACTCCTTTGGATTCGCATGCAAGTGCAATCCTGGGTGGTCTCAGTTCCATATTGGAGACTACTTCCGGTTCCTCCCCTGTATCATCCCCAATTGTAAGTCTCTCTCTCTCTCTCTCCCTTTCCCTCTCTCTCGGCTCAAGTGGATGCCAACTGGTTGGGCATCAAAGTGACATTTGGTTCCAGAATCAGATAGACAGCATCACCATTTTGACTTGGTCTCTTCTATCGATATGTGCAGTTTTGCGAAGTTGGTTTTGAGATAGCTCAAATATGTATTCTTTTATTCCCTGAGAAGAACTCAGCTCTGTAGATTTCAGGTCTCTATGGAACTTAAGATTATAAACCATTTCAAAAGGGTGCTTAAACAATAAATCTGCTCTGCTCTCGGTATTATTCATAGGTTGATAATTCGATGTCTCGACTATATAATTCATTGGTCATCCTTAATATTATGCTACAATGGGCTCACATGTATATGTATATATATCATCTTAAATACGGTGGACTTGCGTTGTCTTCTAGGTAGCATCAATTACTCGTGCTCCAATGGTTCTTCGGCTCCGGCAGCATCCCCCTCGCCTCATCCTGCTAATGTCTCCAAATTAGACCGTAAGTATCGGCGTCAACGCCTTCCGTCTTCTTCATCATCTTCTTATTGCTCAGCACTAAGCAGCGTAAGAACCGCGTTGCTCTTCTCATCTCTCTCGATTCTCTCCGAAAGCTTGCTCGTATTCCTACTGTGGAGCGGGCAACTGTGTGAGTACGTCAACCTTCGGGTATCGCTGTGAGTGCGGAGAGGGTTTCAGCAATCTTCTCAACATGACCATTTTCCCTTGCTACAGAGACTGTAAGCACATAATTGCCCTTTTCTTCAGGAAAACCTATACGGAGTTTGTCATCGTCACAGACAAGCTGAGTGCTGTTTCAGGTTCTCTCGGAGGTGATTGTGCAAACCTGGGCATCACATTGTCGAATTCCTCTTCATCTTCTCCACCCGGTCTATCTGACAACGGCAGTTCATCATCAGGTGGAGATCAATCTTTATGGCGACTAAAATAATTCCTTTGAATGATTGAAAAACTGATGCAGTAGACATTCTTGTTTTGTTTTCTGAACAGATACAATTGGCCCCAAGAATCTTTTGATGGTGATGTTGGTGATTGGTCTTATCTTCGTCCGGACGAGATAGGCAGAGCTCAGTGTATCATGATAGAATTCTTCTGGCCACACACGCAGCGTAGTTCATTAGTTTCGTATGCAGATTGCTCCACATGAGTTCACAGTTCAGTTGGTACTTTTGTTTTGGATGTATATAGGAATTAGAACAACCATTTGGTTTGATTCTGGGTGGTGATGTACCTTTTTAGATTGATATACATCTAATAAAGCACGCTTGTAGTATTTCTGTGATATCCACAAAACCTTATTCTAATTTGACAAGATTGATTTTTAAGTAATGAATTTATAATAAAATAGAGTAATTATACATATATATATATATATATATATATATATATATATATATAAGTGGGTTAAATCGCTTAATAATGACTAAATGTTATTTATTCTTAAATAAAAAATCTCAAATTTTACCTGAATGAAAAGAAATCATTGATTTTGAATTACTATAAATTTCATATCGTTTAATATTAATATGACAACTATGCCCATTTAAATTTGTGACACATACAGATGTTCAATATACATTTGTAAAAAGAGGATTAGTGTTTTTTTATAGTTCGAAGGAGACAGATATATGGTGGAAATCTGATCTATTGTCAGAGAATCTTTAAAGAAGATCTATGATGAAGTCGTAAAGGAGAAGATTCTCTTGATAATAGCAATGATGAAGTAGTAAAAGAGAAGATGGTAGATCTATGATAGCAACAGTCATTCACAAATCTGGAAAGAAGAAAAATGATAGCAGCAGTGATTCATAAATTTTCCACAAATCTGGGCAGGCGACGGATTTGACTTTGAAGTGACCAAAATTTGACGCATTCGAAGTTGAACATCCGCTATAGGGAACGTCGTCACTCACAGTAAATTGTGTGAGCGACAGTAGGGGCAATGTGATGGGTTCGTAAGGAACGGCTGCAAGCGCGGAGACGTCTATAAAAACCATGGGAGGATTGAAGCCCGTAGGAGTGGCGAATACTTGTGTTGCAAATGGCTACTTGTTCCTCTTACTCCGCGGCAGCAGGCGAAAGGAGCGAGGTGGGAGGCACGAAGAAACCCTTTCGGGTGTTCTTTATCCCCTTTTTTGCCTCGGGCCACATGATCCCTATGGTGGACCTCGCCTGCCTCTTCGCAGCCCGCCCCGGCGTCGAGCCCACCCTCGTGCTCACCCCCGCCAACGCCGCCCTCGTTCGCCCCACCCTCGACCGCTCCGCTGCCGCCGGCCGTCCCGTCGGGCTCCTCCTCTTTCCGTTCCCCTCCGTCGGCCTCCCTGACGGCGTCGAGAACCTCGCCACCGCCCCTGCCTCCGAGTCCTGGCGCGTGTATAAGGCCGTCGACCTCGCCCAGACCGCTCACGAGGAGATCCTCCGTCGCCATCGCCCCGACGCCGTCGTCGCCGACATCCCTTACTGGTGGACCACCGCCATCGCCGCCGACCTTGGCATTCCACGCGTTACCTTCCATGCCGTCGGGGTGTTTCCCCAGCTCGTGATGAACAACCTCTTCCGCTTGCGATCGGAGATCCAGGAGCGTCAGGTCGTCGCCGTCCCGGATCTGCCGGGCCGGCCCATCGAGATCCCGCGCGCCGAGCTGCCCGAGTTCTTGTTGGAGCAGAACCACATGAGCGACACATGGGACCGGATGAAGAAGGCGCAGCTGACCTGTCACGGCGTGGTGGTCAACACCTTCTACGGGTTCGAGCCGGAGTACTGTGACGACTACCGTCGGGTGGATGCCCGGCAGGCCTGGTTCGTGGGACCCGTCGCGCTTGCCTCGTGCGGCGGCGTCGAAAGGGGTGGTGGCACGGCGGCAAAGGAGGATGGCGGCCGATGCATGGCATGGTTGGACACGAGGGAGGAAGGGTCGGTGCTGTTCGTTTGCTTCGGGAGCTGGTGCCACTTCACAGCGGCGCAGCTCAGGGAGCTGGCAGCGGGGCTGGAGGCGTCGGGCCAGCCGTTCCTCTGGGCAGTTAGAAAGGACGGGGACGGCTCCGAGGAAGAGAGTAATTGGATGCCGGAGGGATGGGAGGACAGGGTGGCCGGGCGAGGCCTGGTGGTGAGGGGGTGGGCGCCGCAGGTGGCCATCCTGGGCCACAGGGCGGTGGGGGCGTTCCTGAGCCACTGCGGGTGGAACTCGGTGCTGGAGGCTGTCGCGGCGGGGAAACCGATGCTGACGTGGCCGCTGGTGTTCGAGCAGTTCATCAACGAGAGGCTGGTGGTTGAGGTGGCGGGGGCAGGGAAGCGGGTGTGGGAGGGGCAGCGGAGCGTGGCAGAACACGAGAAGACTGTGGTGCCTGGGGAAGCAATCGCGAGGAAGGTGTCCGGGTTCATGAAGGCGGGAGGGGAGGGGGAGACGGCAAGGAAAAAGGCCATGGAGCTGTCAGTGGCGGCGAGGGCGGCGGTGGCGAAGGGCGGATCATCGCACCGGGATCTCGATAGCCTGATCGACGAGCTGCTTGCCACCCGCGTAGGGAACACACAGCAGGACACCGCAGCGATAGAAGTTTGACCGAGTCGTGAGCCGAAGCTTCCGTTATCATCCGATCTGTCAAATAAATTTCATGTGGTCTCTCTAATTCTACAATGTCCAATCTTTGTTGTATCAAATAAATGTCAATTTAAGTTTCGGCCACCCGATCTGATCGTGAAAAGTGACCTAAGGAATATTTTTAATGCTTTCGGTTTCTCTTGGCGACGGGAATGTTTTTGGTGCTTGATGTGTTTGAATAAGACAACTCAAGCATCTTATTCATGGATATAGATAAAATTTTATCAAATTATATTAATTTTATATTTATTTATTTTTTTGCTATATTTTTTTATTATTAATCTCTTTTTTTTTTTCTTTTTTGAATATTTGATTTGACTCTCCGTCTTTAACCTGCGGCCAGGAAAGGAAAGAAAGTGAACGAGTTTTTTTAGTTTCTTTCGAACTTCACATGTTCGCAATGCATATTAATGTCAATTCATTAAATTAACATAAATATGAAATAATTAGATGGGCTTTAGAGTTAGAAAGGATCATTGCTCTGATGGATGACTCTGACGGCAGGTACATATCCACAGAAGTCTTTGTCTGATGGTGACTCTGACGGCAGGTATATATCCACAGAAGTCTTGTTTTATTGTTTGGTATGGCATCTCAATATGTTTTATTGTTTGGTATGGCATCTCAATCACGATGGGTAGTCTAGATCATAGTATAATTAAGATGTCAAAAGAAAATTTATAAATATAAAAATCATAATATAATATAATATTATATTATAAAAAATTTAATGTTAAAATCTGAAATCAAATAACAATATATATCTAAATTTACGATGTGTATTTTTTTTTTTTTATGTGGCTCGCCTTTCTTCGATAATCATAATCAGAATCCAATCATGTCTATAATATATCTTTTCTAATTAGATAGGATCATATAATCTAACACTCTCTCGTTTAGTCCATTAATTAGTAAAATAAATAAAATAAATTTTATTTAAAATTAATTTATCTAATTAGATTTTAAAATTTTAAAATCATTTATATGTGCACGAATTAAAAAACTAGGTCAATAAGTCTAATAAATATAATAATACTATATTAAATTTGACTAGCAATACGAGTTAAGTTATCAATGTCATACTTCCTTCTATGTACTATAACCCTATTAGCTTTTTTTTATACAGTCCAAAATGACCCATATAATTTATCTTGTCAAGATAATTATATCATCATATTTAACCATAATATGTATCTACATAAATGTGAATCGAATAATAGAAAAAAATAATTTTAAATACATTAGCAAGAATGTCAATTATAATGTCTACTCAAATATGTATTACCATATGTTTTATGGGTTTCTCATAAATCCAATCATAAGAACATATATTTTTTTAAATATTTTAGGCTATAAATCTAAATGAATGGATTAGCAAGTAATATAGTTAAACTTAAGTTATTAATTGATATTAGTTATTTTTAGACTCTTTTTTCTAATCATCAAGTACTTTATACTACAATACATAGAGTTATAATAGTATTTGTCATTCTCAAAGAAAAAAACTAATGTGATATATCACAAAATATCTTCAATGATTTGACAATTGAGTCTAATCACACTAAGTCTTAAGTTAAAAATTTATAATCATAAAACTTGATTCATGGCATCAAAGCCTGTTATAAAATCAACTTCTATAATTAAAAACATAATAATATATTACTTTATATTTTTTCTTATAAATTATCTCTCCAATTGATATAAATATAAATCATAACGTGGACTACCTATTATTGAGGTAATTTATAGAATCAACACTTGAAACACTATCATTTCAAGTTGATCTAATTTCATATATATATGATGATATAATACTTCGTCACCTTTAGATATCTTATTATATTCTTTATAGTCTTTTAGTATTTTCATTCTCGGATAACTCTAGTATATAACCAATATTTTAACCGTAAAATTGATATATGATCCGGCATAGGTTTGAGCATACAATAAACTTCCAACGATGCATAGATAAAGAAAAAATAAAATATTTTTCTTTATTTGATTTTTTCTAAGTCGTTAAAAAATATTTATTTTGATTAATTTTTTTTTACTTTTATCATTTGTTGTACAAAGTTTTATACTTAATCTCTCCGAGACTCGATCAATTATCTTTTTTAAGAGAATCCTGATAATCCTTAAAATATATTCTTAAATATCTCAATACTAATAATATAAGATGTATCATTGATATCAACTATTTTAAAATCTTTATGAAAAATTTGTAAGCTCAATATAATAAACTAAGATCATTGACAAATAAAATATTATCCATATATAAGACTAATATAATAAACTTTCTCTCATTGATCTTTATATATAAATATCAATTAATAATATTTTATTTAAATATGAAAAATGTAATGATATTAAGAAGCTTTATACCATGGAGGCTTGTTTAAGGTAATAAATAGATTTTTAAAATTTGCATATCAAATTTTATATATTTTTATTTTCTTTGTGAATCGTTTAGATTAACAAATATAAATCTATATTCTCAATTAGAAAACTTCATTTTACATTCTTATAATATAACTCAAAATCATAATGAGTTAATTTTTTATCATGTCATTCGATATTATTTATTGAATTATATTTATATAACAGATACTTTTATAATTATTAGATAATTCGACGAGTTCTCAAAAACTATTATGATTATTGATTTTAACTCTTCTTTTATTATATTATATCACTTTTTAAAATAATTATTTTTAATAACTTATGAAAATAATAAGAGACCCTTTTAATTCCTATGTTATGTGTAGATATATTATATAATGATTAGAAATGATAAGTCTTCCTTCCCTTCGAGATATTATCAAAACTGTTGATTATGATTATTTTACAAAATCATTAACAGTGATATCAATATTATATGTGAATTCAATAATATTATTTTGTTATTTATCTTTATCAAATCATTTAATAATTTAAGTAATAACAATATCTCAAATGATAAAAGAGTATCAAATTGTATCTCTTGAATATCAAAATTAAATTTTAATATTTTCACTCTCACTGATTTATTATTTTTTTTAAAAAATCTTATATTATCATATTTAATTATCCATATACTATGATTTGGACAAATAAATATGTATCCTTTCGAATTTTTATGAATAAATAATAAACTATCTAAAATAATCCTTAAATCTAATTTTTTTTCATATGAATTGATGATTCCTATCTATATAAGATATTTATAAATATATAAATATCTTAAGTTAAGTTTTCTATCCATCTATAACTTAAAAAAAAATTATAGAATTAACTTACTACAAATCCTATTCAAGATATATATAATTATCTTTAAAACTTCTTCTCACGATAATTTGAGTATAAAATAATAATCTATCATGCTCATAACCGTGAGAGTTCGATGATCTTACCTTTCAGTAATCCTATTCATATCATATTTATCACTAATATTTTATTTTCTAAAAAAAATAGAATTATGAACGGATTAATGTAACAATCATAAAATTTATCTCAGACAAGACAGATAGAGAGATTTGGTGCAAACACCCTTGCAAGACCCACAAACTCCTCCATCTCATCCCTCGGATGCTCTAAATAGGGTGAGCAAAGAGAGGAAAAGGTTGGTGATATCGAGATACAGTGCTACGGCAGCCCAGATGTATTCATCGTAGGAGTAGCGTTTGATCAGGTTATCGGTATCGTAGATTATGTATCCGCAGAATATGACCGCAGCTAGCGCTCCATAAATCATAGCAGAGATCCTTCCCATGGGAAAAAACACCTGAAGACACCATGCAATCACATGAGTCACATAGAATGCTCACTTTCCATGTAGTCACGTATGCAATGGCGGCCAACAGTACCTGGATGAGAGCAAACACCATCAGTATCATGACGGCAGAGAAGAGGAAAGGCCCGAGGAAGCTGAAGTCATGGCCTTTGGAAGCAGCCCAGAAGGTGTAGAGCGTGAGGCTCACCACCACGACTGCCGTGAGGATTACTGATTCGAGAATCACCTTCCCTGCGCAGCGAATTCGAAACCGAGTCTAATCTCTTCAGTGTGCCATCAGCAAAAAAATGACTTCTTTTTTTTTTCCTTCCCCCCTTAAAATGAAGCAGGATTTCCAATAAGAATAAAGGAAAGGAAGGGAGGGGTGAGGAGTGTGACTACCGCTGGTGAAGGCACACGTCAATCCAACTGCGAAGCTGATGGATACCGTGAAGACGCCGAGGAGAAGGAAGTTTAAGGGGTGCTTCTGGTAATAGTAGTACAGGGGACACAACACTGCCACAATTTGAAGCATATCCCGCAATTTCGAGGCGATTATTACTTATTTTTGCAAGTAAAATTAACAAAATTAATGAGAAATAGAAGGTGGGTGGGAAGAGGGAAACCTACCGATGAAGGGAAGGATGATGAGGAATATGTATAGGCCGAGGCCGGCGCCGGAGGAGACGAAGAATCGGGAGACGGGGGGAACGGAGACGACGACGGCGGCCACGGCGACGGTGAGCAGCATCTGTACGGCCAGTATGGTGTAGATCTTGCGGATGAAGGCCCACCGCAGCTGCGGCGGCTCCAGCATCATGGGATACAGCGGCGGCGCCCCCGCCGCCTCCACGTCCCTACCCTTCCAGTACCCCGGCCGCGCCCACATTCTCTCCGGAACCCACCAAGCGACGACGAAGCGATCGAGTTGTTCTCCGAGGGATACCGCAAGCGCTTCTTCCTTTCTTCGCGGGCGGGCTTGCTTAATGACAGTCGGGGACGGGTGCGGGCGAGAGAAGGGAGGAATGTTCCAGACGAGTGTGGATGACACGTGGCGACTTCGGAGAAGCATTTTAAGTAAAAGTTGAAGAGAGTGGAGTGTTTAAACCCGTTTGCTTCTACCAGCATCGAGACGCTTTGTGATTCGTGCGGATGGCGAGCACGGCGGATGATGGGCAGAGAGGCGTTCGTTTCGACAGAACGTATATACTTTGGCACGGCCACAAAGAGATGCATCATGAAATTGATAGAAAGGGATAGTTTTATCATTAGTCATATCCAAAGGGATACCACTTCATAAATCATCGAACGAGAATGAGTATTAATCGTAATTAAGTAAACAACATGATTAGATAAGTATTAATATTTTTTAAGTTCACGATCGTATTTTATTTTTTAAATTATTTTCTTATTACTTAAATTATTTAACTCACTAAAAATGAGCATTTTTATGACATAATTTCCATGAAAATGGAAATCAAGAAGGATCTACACAAGATTTAGAGTCGATAATTACAAATCCGTGATGGTTGCATCAATCTTCGATTCGTTGGAAGTTGGATGAGACTTGTATATGAAAGAGTAGAATGCTCGAGATGAAGTCTCATACACGTCTTTACGATGGGCCCCACACACACAAATAATAAAGCATCATGTTCGTCGACACAAAGAACAATCAACGAGGAATGGAACCCTGAGGCAAAGTGGACCCAACTTTTTATGGGATTTGTGACAATTTCGCAGGAAAAGAGAGGCAGAGTGTCGAAATCTCCGGAGGAATCGAATTAGTGCGAGCCTAAGAGAAAGAGAGAGAGAGAGAGAGAGAGAGAGAGAGGGTAGGGG